CATTCAACTTCAATTACATCTTGTTAATATGTACAACAGTTTTTCCAGTGATGTAATATAGCTGTATTAAATTTTACAGTTCAGAGAGAGAGACTCACTGAGACTGAGTCATTCACTGGCAACTGTTCAATGCATTAACAAACTAATCGACCTACCTTGACACTCATGTAAACACAGGCTACCAATATCTGAATAGTTCCAAAGCCAACATTCCATTTCAAACACCATTCTCTATGGGAGAATAGAAACAAATATGCTGGATACAAGGAGTCACACTACACCTCAAAATGTAAAGGTAATAAAAATCTAAGTATCACTGCTTTAGTGTTAGATATATTCACAAGATTCTGTATCAAATTCAGTAACTGGCTATTTTGGTACCACTCCAGATAATGAGTGAGAAACCATTAATCATGTCATAATAACCATTTCACCATTTATAATCAACAACACATTCATTGCTATATAAACCTAAAGGCAATACTGTATACCTAAAATCAATCAGTCAATTGTAACATACTTTGTGGAATTCTTGGTGGACAGCCCAATTTTCCATAAGCAACATCAGGATGCAAAAGAAACCTTGAAGTCTCTCCCTTCTTCATGGAAGCAATGCCAATATCAAGCCCTATGATGAAACTCTGCCCAAGGTGACCCATTTTGGGGTATCCACGCAACCAAGTTGAGTCATATGGTTCATCACCATATTCGACATAAGCATTGTAGTGGACTGTTACAAGAGCTCTCTCAGGGACTATACACCCAGAACCTGGTTGAATTTCCTACAAGATAGAAAAATGGCAAAATTGTCTTTGAATAATTTTAACCCAATTAATCACAATCAGACTGAAGGAATCACATATAAATGTGTGTTACTCGTGATTTTATTCATAAAGCTGCTATGCAAATTTACTTTGTGCAAGTCTCTCTCCAAAAGCAGTGTCACATTTCCTTTTACAGATCAAAATTTATTCTGCAGCATTGTCACTTCTACTGGGTATGGACACATTCCTCCAGCCTATTTTTATCCTTCATACATCTTCTGCCTATAAGTGATGCTACTGTAGCAATTCTGAAACAAGGAGGCTCTCAGTGATATCTGTCAAAAGCAATGTGCTATAACTGATTTCTTGGTATGTGAGAAAACTACTTGAAATATCCATAAGTGACTACAAAAGATGTAAGGGAATCATGCTGTCAATCACAGCAAAGTTGGTAGCTGGGCCAAGAGAATATTTTCAGAAACTGCACATATCAATTGTCACCATCACAGTGGCAGGCCACAGTCAGCACAGACAGAAGCCATTACTAAGAAGGTGAACAGCATCATTTTGACATACAGATATGTAATTGTTAAAAAAAACTGTTGCTTCTACTAGATATAGGGAAAGCAGCTGTATGAAGAATACTGAACAAGTTGTACTTTTCAAAGATCTTCAATATGTGGGTCCTGCAACAATTGACAGACATCACACAGGAAAAAGAAGACCAGCCTTGCATAACGTTTGGAGTGGTTTGATAACATGGAGAAATAGTGGGCACACATTGTGATGGGAGTGAAACATAGTTGCACCACTCTGAACCAGAAACAAAGACAGTCAGTGAAGTGGTATCAGGCAAATTCTCTGTGGAAAAAGGTTCAATGCTGCACCTTCAGCAAGTAACATCATGGTGACCTTTTTTGGAACATGGAGGAAGTTATTCTGGTGGATGAGATGGTATGGATGAATTTTAAGAATTAGTAATGACAATTCCAAAGCAGGCTCTAAACATGAAAACAAAAGCAAAATACCCAATATGGAGACTGAAATCAATTATAGGAATAGTTTGCAAAATATGCAAGACAGAAGGAAAGAAAGACATGGAATAAACTTAGGACAAAAAGTTATGGGAAGACACAGAGGTCCTGGTGTCAGCAGGCAAACTAAAAGAGGAAATGTTTGAGGAAGATAAGAACGCTTTCAACAAAAAACAAACTGATATAACAACTTTAAGCAACATACCCGTTTCTTAACCTTTCCATCCTGTGTTAAATTTGTCATTTTTGAAGCAATTTTTTGAAAAGGAGTTTCTTCTGGCTCTACACTACTACTGTCTTCATCTGAGTCAGCATTAATACAATCAAAATTAACACACTGCAGTAACTCATCTTTATCAAAGTAGGAGACATTGTTTTCAACATTGTCACTGACATCCACTTTAAATGTTGTAAAAGAATCATCTATTAATTTCCTGCAACAATGAACATAACAAATATTAACTTCACTTTTTAAGGGTGAAAAATTAGTGTATCAATAGTTCAATAATGATCAAATTTACAAATGTATACACATCCATAACTCATCTTTTCCCATATCTGTAAATGGAATTATAACATAAAACTCAGTACATACACAGAAGATAGAGTGTTTGGACCAAGAAGCACTGAAAATCTCACAATAATCCTTTACATATTGCTCTGCGTTACATAAATCCTGAATAGTAAGCTGCAGAAAAAATGCAAAAAACAAATATATTTGTATCTACCAACATGTTACAGAAGAAATAAATTAATAAACACATGATGGAAATTTATCTTCTAATTCATGTCAAAGCCAAAAATGGATAAAATCAAGAACATTTAATTTCTTTCACACGTTTGTAATAATAAGCATGTGAAATTTTATATAGGTCCGACCAGAAGAACATCTCATGAAAGACATAAGGAATTTGTGTGAGAAACAATAAAGACACAACAGGATATGCACATCACACAGTAAACACAGGACACTATTATGGCGCCAATGATGACACAATGGAGATCGCCTCCACCTTCAAAGAAACAAAACTCAAATCATGTCAGTTTTACCTCATGTCAATGCCATCAGTTAATTTTACTACTGGCGACATTTGTACTTCAGAATAGTCATCTACTGTATCCATTTTAAAAATTTAAAAACTACAAAGAAAAACTTCAACACCAAAATGTCGAGATAATTTCCGTTGCATCTTCAAACCCCCATACGTACGCAAGGCCCAATATCTCAATGAGTATGCGAGACCGTCGACAATTAATGCGTTTGAGTCACTTGTGGTACACATCACGGTTCATATAAAACACAAATAACCAACATGGGTTTATCCATGCTTATCATTTAGTTCCTTCCCTTACCACCAGAGACATTCGTACATGGCTGTTGATGTATTCATGTACATATGACGCAGATTTAAAATGGAACTGTCTTATGAATACGAAAATATTAATTGATATCTTTTGACGTAAATACGTCTATACGGAAGGGTCATTCTGCAAAAAACATCGTTACGAAGATGTGTAAGATCCATACCAAGAATGTGTAAATATGGACCGACAATGGTCAGCTTTTATATGAACTCCTGCGTGCATAACAATGCAAGAAAAAGAATTCGAATTTCTAACACACGCCTACAACAATATTGGCTGAGCATGCCATAAGGCTCTTTTCTCATTTATTATGCATGCTGTATAATTGCCTGAATAAACCGTATTGCAATCCACTCCTTTACCTAAGAAACTAATTATGTCATCTGTTTATTCGGCATTGTTGTGTTTCATTACTGCAGTCAACAATCGTTATTGCGGAAAGAACTGAGCTATGAATCGCTTGTAGAAGAAGTGCGTCGTAGAGTAGATAATATTGTGCTTATCTTATATAAGAATTTTTAAGAAATCTGTGATACTGCCCTTCACCCTCTCCATTTTAGTTTTGATTAAATTGGTCATTGTGGGTGGACATCGTGGTCTCTTACAATTGAACAAAGTTTGGGGTAAGGGATAAAGGCGCATCGCACTTCACGCTACTGCTGCGTTTGTGCGTTGCGTCATACTATGTAGAGATAACAAGATGGATGACATTGAAGATAAAAGAGTCCGTAATGCAGAATATATGAGACAGTACAGAAAACGTAAAAAAATATAAGTATTGAATAATGAACCTGAAGTTTCCAAAAAAATACCAAACACTAATGCTGAGCGTATGAGGGAATATAGAAATCGCAAGAAGCAATTATTGCAAGTTAATGCTTCCACATCATTAGCAAGTACAAGCGTTTTTACAACAATCGCACAACCAAGGTATGACAAAGCAACCGAATATTTTCATAAGCATTTTAATGAAAATAGATTTGGATACGCTTGCAATGTATGTGATCGGTTATGGTTTTAAAAGAATTGAAACAAGTTACTGATAGCCATTTAGATATATTGGGTACGGAGTTTGTAAATGAAACTGTATCTCAATATAAGGTATGCACAACATGCTGGCTATCTTTAAATAAGCAGCAAATACCTATATTGTCTAGGAGTAATGGATTTGTGTATCCACTATACCCCACTGATTTGCCTACTCTAAATTGCGTAAGCGAAAGATTAATATCCCCTAGACTTCCATTTATGCAAATTAGGATGTTAAGACATCAAATGGGTGGATTTGGGATAGCGGGATAAGTAATCAATGTTCCAGTAGATGTTAATAATGTGGTAACGCTATTACCTAGAGAATTTGACGATGATTACAGTTTCAACGTCCATATAAAGAGAAACTTGATTCACAAATCTACTTATCTGATAGGAATTGTGAAGAAAGATACAATAAAACGTTGGCTACTTATTTCATTAATACTCCATTGTACAAACATTACAACATTACAGTTAACGATGGATTTTTCCAAAAAACAACAAACTGCCGAGGAAGAAAATATAAAATGGGTAGAAGACAGAATTGTCAAGTGATGTAGAATTGCTGCTAGCTCAACAGCAAACTCTCCTGTGGAATGAAGATAAGTACTTGGAAATTGCTCCTGCTCAAAAGAACACACCCTTGTCCATCATATACGATGAACATGCAGAAGAGTTGTCATATCATCTACTTGGGAAGATCGAGGCAATTTAAAGAAGACCACAAGGTAGCAACATTCATGATGGCAACAAACGAAATTTAGAATAAAGCTAATATATAAACTTCCTTTCATTGTATTTATTGTCTAAATATAATTTAAATACAAAGACGTATTTACGTCAGATTCTCCGGAACCGTGGTTCCACTGTCAATTTTTTTCCTTCCCCAATTCATATCACTGTTTATCAGAAGATGAATGTTTTCTGGGTTCTAGCGCCGTGTAGTCTGGTAGATTTTTGCACGGTATAGCAACCCAGAAAACAGCAATCTTCAGATTTCGCCGTGAAAACCTTAAATCCTACTTGTGCTTGTTTGGGTTTCCATCGGAGACAACATATCTCATGTAATTCATGTTTATGCAGGAACCATATCAGAAATTTGCACAGATATTAAATTAATGCCAGATGTAAAAGTATTGGTATTATCGGTCTTCATAACAACTAATGCCTCACTGTAGCAAAAGGTAGGCTACTGCTATCATAGGTAACCTGATTGCTGCTGCCACAGAAATACAGATATGGCTGTCGTTGCTTTTGTTCTGTGGATTGTTTTTTTATGTGGTGTACTGTGTTTAGTTCGTAATACCAAGGCTCATAGATTATAAATTATTTGTTTACAATTGAGAAAATATGTACTGTAGTTTGTCCAATAGTGGCAATAAGGTTTCGAAACTGTTGAGGAAATATACTGTAAATACCAATAAGTTGTAATTATGAAACCCACAGTAGTTGCTGATGAAATGTTTCCAGAAGGTGCCGGCCCGTACATGGATTTAGAAGAGGTAACATGTTTAGATATCTGGAAATGACAATAGTGGGTTTACGCAGAAGCTGTGAGAGAACACTGGAAGAGCTAATAGTTGCATTAAGACAGGGTTGTTAAACAACATTATTCCATCTGGTTTTGGGATAATATTAATCAACATTGTTATTTATTGATTTCCCTATCATTTTCAACTTGAAACACGTTTCTGCGGATCAAAAATTGTGTTCTCCGCAAATGGTATGTTTACCATTATGAAGATTCCTTTACAGTTGTCACCTCTTATGTACTTACAGTTAATGTGAGGTGTTAATTATGAAACAGTTATGCACACAGCTTGTACCAGTCACATTTAGCATTTATATTTTCCATTGAACCTCACTACTTTTATAGGTGGGTGGATCCAGTGGATTGTTGATGGATTTGGCAGCTAATGAAAAGGCAGTCCATGCCGAATTCTTCAATGGTAAACCAATTGAATTTGTTGTTATAATACATTGTAGCTAATTTCATCAACTGACTGCTTTAGAAGATGTCAGTTTTCTAATTGCCCATCAAATGTATATGGTTTAGGTTTGATAAACAGCTTATTACTAAAATAGTTTTGTTGTAATTTGCAGAACATTGATATTAAATAAGGTACACAATATGTGTTACATTTCTCAAGGCAATGGAAGGGCTCTTTTTATTAGAAGAAAAGCAGAACTGTCACAAATACAGTGACAGTTGGTATAGTGGGCACAAGGCCAGCATTTTTTCCCATATGCTAATTAAATTTGTTATTTTCAGATTTTGATGATCTTTATGATGACGACGACCTGCAATGATACAGTATCATTTGTACACATACCATGGTACCTGTTATTGCAGAACTATGCATCTACATATTTCTTGAACAGGACTTGACATCAGAAATAAAGACTTTATATTGAAGTTCTATTATATAGTTCCATATTATATTGAAATCACATATTCCTAATATTTTATTCCCTGCACTGTGCTTATTTTCTCTTTGAGAGAGCTGATTGAATTTGATTTCTTAAATAGGTACAAGTAACAGTTAATGTACCTGTTGGTAGGAAACCATTGGATGCCAAGTACATGCTGTGCAGAATGTATAGGTTTTACAACAGTACAAAAATAATCAGTTCCAGAATTTTTATTACCTACCAGAACTGATGCCCTTATACTGTCTGTGAATCACAATTATAACACGAAGTTCAGGATTTGTATATTACATCTTCTGGAAGCACATGAATAAGTGGCCACAATTTTATGAGATTTTCTGTAATGAATAAACATCTTTTCTGTTAAGTTTGTTTTTGCATTCCCAGTAGTTTAATATACTTAAACAAAATCAAGTAGCAGCAGATGTAAAGATATAATTGGAATGAACTGCAGGCCAAGATTAAATATTTTGCATGATTCTATGAAGCAGGTTTTTATTGCAGTGCTTACCGATTATACTCATACTTAAGGAAGTAGTAGATTAAAATCTTGGTGCAGCCATCATTTCCCTCGGTGTATCCTCAAATATATGATCACTACATTGCACATGCTTACCTATTTACCATTCAAGATCCATCTCTTCCAATTTTACAGAACCTACAAAGTTGAGGAAGAGAACTGTTAAGTAATCTAAGAATTATTTAAGGAGTACAGATGAAAGCATATAAAGTAGGCACTGAAGCTGGCATTCTTCTTTTAAAGATAAGGGTTCTCAGAAGAATCATGTACAGTATCATGAAAGTAACAGCTATCCTGCATTAAGTGAGCACTGGCAATATGCATGGTGCAGTAATTGAAGGTATGGTTTATGACATGATTTTGACAAGTTTACATGTATATCATAATGCAGCTTAGATGAGGGTAATATGTATGTTCCAGTATTTTGCTGAAATAAATTTTATTTCTGATTGTTGCCTTTTAGTAAATGCTATCTTTCAGTATGTATGTAGAATATTCTGAAACAGTATATATTTTGTGGCATTCATGATTCCTTGTCTGACTAAGAAATTCACCCATCTATGGAATTTCAACTCACAAGTGAGGAGTCTTACTGTATTTATGGTATTTCCTAAAGCAGCTGGATAAATGGGTTAATAAAATTAAATAATCACAAAACATGGTCAAAAATGGCATTAACATTGCCAGAGAACTTCATCTTCAGAATATACCTGCCAAACTGGTAGCATTTCAAACAAGACTTGAATAGTTTACATGTGTTCTTTGCAAATTTCTGAATGCACCTTGCTTAAATATATGTACTTGGGAAGCATTACCACCAGTATTGTCCACATAACCATTGCAACAGATTTAAGGCAATATGAAAACATAAGTTTGCCTCTTAAAACAAGATTTTTCACCGACTTACCTACATCTTATAAACAAACAAAATGAGCAAGTTGTAGGTAATGTATATACTTTACACAATATTTATGAAAATGCA